AGCCATCTAAGCACACTGTTCCACAAACACCGGAGGACACTACAGGAGCAAGGAGAAATACGTGACTTCAAACAATGTCAAGCCACTACAGGCTTGTAATCACATGCCATTACATGCATGTCCTAGCATGTAATTTCAACTCTGACAAAGTCCTTACCTTCCCCTCTCACTGACAGGATTTCTACGGGGAGCTTATTCTCTGCATGCCCCCGGTAAAGACAATTGACAATTGAGGGCACCAGCTCCCACCTTAGTGAGATCTGCTCAAAATACAATTACTGCCATGTACAGATGCAAACGTGAAAGGTATTCCTGCAGCAGACAGACTGCACCTTGGGAGTTTAAACCCAGATCTCTCCAATCTTTGTTGTGATACCCTCACACTGCCCTCATTTTGTTTTTTTTTAATTGACAAACCAGGGCTCTTCAGACCCCAATTTACACAGAGCATATACAGATGCTCTTAACCCCACAGAACTGCAAAGGCTGTGAATACTGGCTCTAAAAGTCTGGGATAGAGGCAATCCTCACCTCTCACACCTCCCGCTTCACCTGTTGCATGGGAAAGGCAAAAGGTTGCTTAAATCAGATTGGTTAAATCACAGGGACAAGGACTTTCTTGTTCTAGTGCATAGGACTTCTATAGCTTTACTCACTACCGAGCTATATCTACAACACTGTCCTAGAGATGAAACTCAAGGTGAGCCAAATAGCTATTGTCTTTTGGGTACTTTCAGAGACATGGGGCACTTATGGAAATTTTGGCAGAGTCTGTCAACCTTATAAGCAACACATTCTTAGAAGGAAGGCAATGTCTGCATTTGTGTCACAACAGCCAGAATTTCCAGGTTTGATTATTGAGTAAGGGTGTCATTTTTCTTTTTTATTTACTAACGTCAGTCTGTGTCTTCACAATAAACACTGAGCAGTATCAGGAATGTCCATTGCCTTCTCCTGCTTTTCTGTGGTCCATGTCCATGGACCAAATTGCAGACAAACATTTTCGGAGGAAGGAAAAAAAATCCCTTTCACTAGAAATTTCAATGCAGTCAGCTGCAAACCCAAGCATGACTCTTACTGCCATGCCAGAATTCTGTCATGCAAAAGGGAAAAGAGACTATCCACACCCCACATGAAAAAGATGCTCTCTAAGATCCAACTGGATATGACAACACTGAACTTGACAATTGTATGTTCTTAAGTCTCAGCTGGCAGGAAAAAAGCCAGGCACAGTAACACCTAGAATAAAAATAACACTCAAATGGCACCCTTTAGCATAATGAGTTAGTGTCTTCAGAGACCACAAATAGCAATAACAGTTCCTCATCATCATCTAATGTCCTATACTTCATTTCCACTTTCAAACTCCATCTTCTTTCTTTAAGTGCCAAAGTTTTACTTCTGTTCTATTCTTCACTCTTTAATTCCCTTTCTAAGGGGATATCTGCAAAAACATTTTATTCTTCAAGACTATTTCAAGTGTCTTAAATGTTCTAGTTTTATACTAGCCACACCAGTTTAATGTTTTTCCTTAACAGTCAATACTTCTGATACTGACTAAAAGGTATCTAGGTTCTTTTCCCTTCACACTAAAATACATCCTAATTTTAAAATCACATCAGCTATTGAAAGAAATCAGTGACTGCTAAACATCTGAAGAGGTACAAAACAAAGGATTTCATTGCTAAACGCCTCCCTCCTTCACTTTTTCCAAGAGACTGCAGTGTAACAACTCACTCATATCCAGACAATTAATTCTGTGTATTTTTGCTCTCTTTTGTTAAGAATGCAATTAATTCTTTCCAACTGTAAGAAGGTGCAAGAATAAACTCAGTTAAGATTTTATGAAATCAGAAGAAGACAAAGCCATAAACACATTAAACAAAACACAGTGCACGCTCACTGACCATAGTGCAAATATATTCTGGGCTACTTCAAGAGCACAAGTGGCTCTGGGGATGTTGTTATCCTTCTTTACCCAGTCTGAGATGGCTCCCAGGACCCCATTTCCAGCTCGGTTCTCACAGTTCTCGCTCTCTTCAGTTCAAGAAGGAGCAAACTGCAGGGAGGCCAGAGCTACTAGGATAGCCTGTGGTCTAAAGCAAACTACCTGCGAGGAGGTAACGTTTAATGTTGTTTAAGACAGTGGAACCTAAGGAAGACTTTGCAGACACCTAAAACTAATTCCCCGAAGAGTGCTTACAAAGAGGACTTGCTGCTTCTTATCAGCAGATTAAACAACTAACAAACAACTATAAAGCTACACCCTGCAGCTCAGAAGGTTCAATAGAAAACTGGGACTGTCCTTTACAGCACATTTCAAGGAAACCAGGAAAAACAAAGTTTCCATGCTGAAAAGCCACAAGAACTCCTGAAATGTGTAACACAAATTCTGGCATTCAGTCATGCAGATATGATACATTAGCAAGGATAGTCACCTCCAGGAAGAGTTGGCAGTTACACTGATTTCTCTCCAGCCTTCTACAAACTCCTCCATTAATCTCTTTTCTAGCATCTGTATCGATCATGCCACAAGCTCACAGTCCTACTGCAGAATGCACCCAAAAGAACCAAAACTGTCCTGGTTATTGAAGGTACTACTTAAACTCACTAACAACTACAGGAATCACCAAAACACAATGACTAATGTTAAGCATTACTAAAATTTTTCAGAACCTACATATTAATTTTTCTTATGTAATTGAACCAAGCTATCTGAAGTTTGCCCAATTTAAGCCACAGTACAGAAGGCAAAAATGTCTGAGCAGGAAATAGTCAGAGGTGTTTTATTCCCATCCTGCTAGTGACAGAAACACAGGAGCAGAATTTCCAAAATTTCAGTTTTACAAAAATTTAACATTAAAACTAAAACCAAGGTCTGGAAAAAGCATGCAGAAGACACAAATGATGCAAGAACTAAGAACAGTGAGGACCACAGTAATATAGGATAGCAACAAGCAAGGCTGACAGCAATGTTAAGGAAAGCCAATCAGGTAATCTGAGCAGAAGAATGAACTTTGATATTAAATAGTAACCACCAAAGTGACCAAAAATTCCCAACAAAAAAACAAGGCGTAAAGAAATGAGTGAGACAATTCCAAGGATTAACTCAAAAACTACAGTCACAGGGTTCGATACTGATGACACAGGAAAAGACAAACAGATAGAGCCAATGTAAGAATATTTTTAATGTTTAATAGTAACTTTCTAGGATGACCAATACTACAAGGTCAGTCTCATTCTTTTGACTTCTTCCTCGCTCATCTAATTTAATGGATTTTCAAAAAGACCTGACAGACCGCTTAAGAAAAAACTAGAGCCAAACAGCTGAAATGGAAATGCCTGTTTCAGTCAGTCCTCACGTTCTGAAACAGGTTTAAACCCTTTCATTTTAACTACAGTTAAATCCCCCTTCTGCCAATGCAGTTTCAAAATGTTATATGTAAAGCATGGGCAACAAACACTTTTATCATTTATACACATGATAATAAATGTCCTTGAGGAGAACAGTACAGTGAGAGAGAAGAAAAACAGAGCAGTGACAAACTTGGTGTTGCCATGAAGTCTGAAGAAACCAAACTCCATAAGGAACGTGCATTTTCCAAAAACTCAGGTATATCTTACATGCTATGAATATAATTTGAATTCGGCAGCATTTTGCTGATGTGCTGTGTGAGCTGATTTAAAAGACATATCAAATATGTTACAGATGACTTCACGTATGAGACACGGGCAGCAAGGCACATGGGAGTGTAAGTGGGAAGCAGCAACACCATTGCATTTAGGGCCTTGTTCTTGTATTTTACACACACTGCTGTCTTGTACGGTAACAAACTGGAGAAATAACTCACCACTGCTGCACTGAGCCTGCCTCTGATTAAGGGAAGACTGTTCTGCAGAAAAACTGCTGTTCTTCAGCCTGCAGGAAGAAAACAACCACCTGGAATAAAGGCGAGTACGCACCCCTTTCCCCAAAAAACAAGTTCCCTCAGGTTAACGCCTCATCTTCCTCCCATGCCTTCCATTAATTCCAGCCTGACTAAAAACTGTTTCAAGGAGGAAGCGGGAAACTGTCCCCTGGAATTAGGTAACAATTATTTACTTCCAGCTCCGAGCAGGCCCTTTGCCGCGGGCGGTATGTCAGCTACGGGCGGCCTAGCTGCCTCAACCCCGGGGGCGGTGCCCCGGGGCCGGTACCGTGGCGGGCACTCCGCGCCGGAGCCGCGCCGCCCCGGGCAGCGCCAAGGGGGGCACAGCCGGCGGAGCAGCAGCCGAAGCGAGTGCGTGCGAGCAGCGCCGCCCGCAGCGGCACAGCGCCGGGGCTCCGTGCCGGAAGCGCCGTCCTTGGTGCGGAGGGGGCGGGGTCCCGGAGCGCGCTGCCCGCTGACGTCAGGCGGCGGCTGCGCGCGCGCAGAGCGGTTTGGCGCGCGGGGCGCGTGTTCCCGCCCCGGGGATCCCGGCCCGGGCATCCCGCCGCGCTTCGCGGAAACCTTCCCGGCACGGCACGGGCGGGGCATCACGTTCGTGTCAGAACGCAGTGCTAAAGATAGATACGGAAAGTAAAGCAAAAAGCACAGCGAGGACTGAAAAACCGAGCGTGCTCCACTGGCGGGGCAGCGCTGGGAGGGACGGCACCGGCGCCGAGGCTCGGCCCTGAGCGGGCGGGCACTGCGCTGTCTCATCGGCAGGGATCGATGAGGGTCGCCCTGGAAAATTCCCTTCCCTTCCCTTCCCTTCCCTTCCCTTCCCTTCCCTTCCCTTCCCCTCTCCCACTGCCGTCTGCCTTCGGGCTAGGTCAGGGTACTAAACACACCCACTCTTAGGCCGTGTGCCATTTATTAATAAAGCTTCTGTGGGCCCGCTGACTTCCGCCGTCCCTGCTGGCCACGGTCCCTTGGGTCTCACGGCTGCTCCCGCGCACGCAGCGGGATCCCGTTCCCGGCGGGATCGAGCGCGCGCGCTGCCCGCCACACGCGCGCGCCCTTCCTGCTGCCGCGGTNCCGGAGCGGAGCGGGCGCGGCCGGAGCGATCGGAGCGGAGCCGCCGCGATGCCCAAGGCGCGGGCCGGGAAGCGGCCGGAGCGCCGGGAGGGCCGCGCCGGTGGTGAGTGTGGACCGGACCGGGCGGGCGGGAGAGATCCCGGAGCGGAGGCCGGGCCGGCGCTCGCAGCCGAGCCGGGGCTGGCGGGGCGCCGGCGGCTGCCCGCGGTAACACGCCGGTCTCTTCCTTAGGCATCCTCTTCAACACCGGGGCCGGGCAGCACATCCTGAAGAACCCCCTCGTGGTGAACAGCATCATCGAGAAGGTGGGACCCGCGGCTGGGCTCCGGGCCCGGGCCCGGCGCTGGTTTCGCTCCTGGCCTGGCTGCTGGCATGGAGCAGCGCCAGGACACTGTCCTGCGCCCCGCGTGCCCTCCTTCCTTTCTGAACGAGTCTCACGCTGCCTGCGTACCCGTTCCGGTTTCTTACTGTGTCAAAAGCGCTGAGTTTCATTCTAAAGTCAAATGGTTGCACGGAATTGGTGCTAGGGAAGCACTCAAATGCTGTTTGTCCTTAGGCTGCCCTGCGCCGCACGGATGTCATTCTGGAAGTGGGCCCGGGAACTGGAAACCTGACAGTAAAGATGCTGGAGAAAGTGAAAAAAGTAAATGCAAATTTACATGCACCCCCTTCCCTGGTTCTGACTGTGCTGTGGCTCAGACTATGGCAAACAGAAGGGTCTTCATGGGTGTGATGAACATAAGTAGAATTACGCCATTGATACTTTTCTTAACATATGAATAATCCCAGTGGGTTTTTAGCTGAACACATAAGTTTTGTGTGGTTTTATCAAACTACATGGCTGTTATCAATTTATATGGTAAAGCTTGCTTGTATTTGGAGAGGGTGGAAGGTGCACAGCCTAATAGTGATTTTGAAAGGATTCTTTAAACCCACAGCAACAGATAGAGGGTTGGGGTTTTTATGATTAAATTCCAGTTAGGAGATGCATGGAGTTGCAAATATATACTTTTTTTTTTTTAGGTTATTGCATGTGAAATTGACCCTAGACTTGTTGGTGAGCTTCAGAAGAGAGTCCAGGGCACGTAGGTATCAATTATGGAAACAGGGAGCACTTAAAGCAGCGGAGCTACTTTGGCACAAATTGTGGCAACAGTGCTTCTCTGAGGATAACCACAGTGTATCTTTTCACCCAGGTGTCTAGCAAACAAACTTGAAATCAAGGTTGGAGATGTCTTGAAAACAGATTTACCATTCTTTGATGCATGTGTGGCTAACTTGCCTTACCAGGTAACGGGACAAACAACATAGCATACAACAACATTAAAAAATTTATTTTTAAATGCTGATTTCCCAGAAATTATAGTAACATTATTCATTATTTTTTCTCAGATTTCTTCACCTTTTGTTTTCAAGTTATTGCTTCATCGACCTTTTTTCAGGTATGTGGAAGAACAGAGCTCTGTATTACCTGGAAGGAAGAAAAACAGTTTTAAAAGTATTTTCAAATCCAGTATTTTTTAGTTCCTAAGATTCCTAAGTTTGATGGATCGGAGCTGCACTAACGTTCTTCTGTAATGCATACTCTGACAGTGCCTGGAAATTAAGTTTATGTTGATGTATTGAGCATGAGGAGAAAATTTAAACTTGGCAGCAGTGAGTGCCCAGGAGATAAAAACAGGAGTTGCATCTCCTTAGTATTGTTCCAGGGATAAGCAGGGCATCATAGCATTTCAAATACCTTCCTCTCTAATTTAGGCTGGAAGGGGTAGAATCAGTGCCAACCAAGTCTTGCCAAAGTCAGACTTTCTTGTCTGATCTAAAAATGTAACTGTCCTGTCTGTGTGCCAGACATCAGTACATCATCAGCTTTTGATTTGTCTCAGAGGAACATTGGTAACGTTATCAGTCAATTTTTGGAAAGCTTGGATTTGAAGGACTCAGCAGAGAGTTACTCTAAATGATTTATTACAGTCAGGCAACTCGCAGACTAGACTGTCTCTTTGATCCTGATCCATTTAGCAGTATGGATAATCAAATTATGTAATAGCTTTAAGGAGACGTGGATGGCTTCACCAAGTTCTGTGGGTTTTGGGTTTTTTTTTCAACACAGCAATCAAGGCAGAGTTGTTTATTACAAACATTTACTCTTCTAAGTGCTGAGGCATATTGTGTGTTTTCTAAAGTGTGCTAGTTGGCTGCTGACATAAAAACTGAATACTTAGAATCAATTTTCTCATTTCTGTTACTCTCAGGTGTGCAATCCTTATGTTTCAAAGGGAATTTGCCCTTCGTTTGGTTGCAAAACCAGGAAGCAAACTGTACTGCAGGCTCTCTATTAATACTCAGTTACTGGCTCGAGTGGACCATCTGATGAAGGTACGTCACTGCCTTTAGGTAGCTCGGCTGTCTAACACAGAAGAAGAGTGTTGCAAGGGGTGTGAGGAATTTGTTGCTTATTCACACAGCTCTTTGACTGCTCTTATCTAACAGGTTGGAAAGAACAACTTCAGGCCTCCTCCCAAAGTTGAATCCAGTGTTGTCAGGATAGAGCCAAAGAACCCACCACCACCTATCAACTTCCAGGTGAGCAGTGTATACTTAACGTAACATGTTAGTGATAATTTCGTATTTCTTCACACTTTCTACTCAATTCCATGTGCTGATTCTAACACAAACTACCAGTTACTCATTGGAGTTTCCAAAAAGCTTATTTCTCTGTTGATCAGGCTTGTGTTATGACATTAACAGAACATGCCACCATCAGCTGGGGCAGCTTTGTGTACAGTATCACTCATAAGACCACGGTCACTTTGAGAACTGCTAGTAATAATGTCCCTTTCATCATAGTTTACATCTCCCAGAGATGTTTCTGGCTGATAATTTTGCAGGTTTTGATCAAAGGAATATATGAGATTTATCTTCAGATGAGTGTGTGTAATCTCAGAAGACAAATGTTATAGAAGAGTATTCTTAATTTTTAAAACGCTTTAAGACCATTTCAGCCTTGCCCAAGGTTAGTCAGATTTTCTTCAATTGTCTGCCTTCTCTGCACATAATAACACCTAGGCATGAAAAAGTACAATTCAAAGGGTTTTGGGGGTGAAATATTTTCTCCTCCATTTGTATTGCTTTGCCCAAGATACAGCTGGTTTTGTGTTGTTTACAAGGACATTTCCATGAAGGGTATTCCTTTGTGTTCAGTATTGTTCTGAAGGTGTCAGCAGTGACTGTTCTTGTTTGTAGTAGCTGTATGTTACTTTCTAAAATTATGAAATTTTCCATTCCAGGAGTGGGATGGTCTGGTAAGGATAGCCTTTGTTAGGAAAAACAAGACACTCTCTGCAGCATTTAAGTAAGTAACTTCAATCAGAGAACCAGTTAACCATTTCTTTTGTGCAAATGCATAGCATAGTCAGCGATAAACCATGGTGGAAGATTTATACTAATGTGTCACAACCTTTTTCTTTTAGAAGAAAACTAGGCAGCTTTTTAAAAAGAACATTTCTGTGTAATTGTTACAGTTTTTTATAGTAGACATTAACTACCAATTGAGTGAACAATAGTTACAGTTCAGTTTTCATGCAAACGTGTATTTCTTTCAGATCAAGTGCAGTAGAGCAGTTGCTGGATCATAATTACCGAGTTCATTGTTCCTTACATAATACAGTAAGTTCCTTCTTAATCTCTTCTATTTCTGTGTACTGTGACCTACATTCTGACTTTTATAAGAGTAAAAAATTAACATTGAAAAGCTTAATGTATCAAAGATTTTCCAAAAGAGTTTGAAGGTGGGAGGAACTTGTCTCTTTTCTTAGTGAAAAATCTAAAGGGGTAATTATAATTAAATCATAGTATAAAAGCTTAAAATCAAGTATATTATTACAATATTGTCCATATATGTATGTCTCAAGGTCTTTTACTAATTTAATATTTCTTGTCCGCTTTTCAGTATTGTTGTGAGTCATGTATAATGAATGAACTGAGATAAAAAATTCAGATTCAACAGAATAATACAATAATCCATAACAGAAAAAGCATAACTTACGTTTTTTCACTTGAAACTTGTTCTAAGAGCAGGAAATAATTAGATTATTTAAATGAGCCTTCTCTGTGTTTTGAATGGAAAATAATTTCTATCCCACTTTTCATTGACAGGAAATCCCTGAAAATTTCAAAATTGCAGAGAAAATACAGACAGTTCTAAAAGATACTGGTTACTCTGAAAAACGAGCCCGTTCAATGGATATAGATGATTTCATTCGGTATTCTTTTTTTTTTCTCTTTATGCCTTCCTTTTAAGCTTCTTTAAATTCTATCTACATCTGATTAGTATTGGGTTGCACAGGAATAGTAGGGTTTCCCTCTTAGTACACTCCTTGCTTCCAGTCCTGAATACTTAAGGCCTACTTATTTATTTTAATTGCTGTTTATAATATTGAGAGCAACTAGCTAAGGATCCCTGTTTCAGGTGTTCGTGTATTATACCCTCTGTGTCTCCTTTAAAAATGGCCACAGTGTAAATTCTTTATTAAAATTTCTCTAGAGTCTTACATGGCCTTTCTCTGCCTTGAGGATTAGGCTGTAGTCTGTAGCATAATTTTAAATGTGAATGATTAATTGCTATAATCCACTCTTACTTCCGGTGGCATTATTAATCCTCTTGTAATTGAAGATAAAAAGTTCCTAGCTGTTTCTCATTTGGAGAACTAAGACAGGTAATGCTCTCTGAAAACACATAGTGAACCTGGTAGGGTCCAACATAAGAAACTGCATTGAAAACAAACCTGCGTCTCTGAAATGGCAAATTTGCTAATAACTTCTGGTTTCAGATTTGTTAAAATTCTTTCTTTGTGGCTGATCAGTGATGGCTGCTTTCATGCTATTTTCTTTGCACATCTTAAAAATGCCTCAAGCTGAAGTTTAAATTGCTAGAATTGTAATACACATATTTCAATCTTTCAGATTACTACATGGCTTCAATTCAGAAGGCATCCATTTTTCATAGATACTCCTACAAGAACGAAAGATGCGGTATTTTTTCACCAAAGTTTTACCCAAGCCAGAGTGACTGCAGTGGGACAAGCTCCTCCTAAAAGCAATGAACAGAATACAGTGTGTATGCTTGGACTCAAAATGTTAGATATGGTTCTATCACAGACAGTAGGCAAGAAGCTGCTGCTCAGTAAGCAGTAAATTCTTTCAGAGCTGAAGCGAGGTGCTGGACTGCGTCATGACTTGTGTTTTCCTATATATATATCCAAAACATGGATTGATGATAATTGAAATCTATGTTCTCCAATGATGGACTTCATCTCAGTATATTCATGTACAATACTCAACAGTACAACCCATAATGGGTGTGGACAACAAAAGGAAAGTTGTAGTAATTGCTTTTTTTTTTAATCAATCATTGGTGTGTTTGTTTTAAAGTGTATTTAAACACTTCCTTTTGATTTGAGATGCCTGTCTCTCTCATGCGTCTGGTAAATACCAGCACTTCAAGCTTGTTAGTTGTCTGCTTCTCTTAGAGAACCCCAATGAGAAAACAAAAGAATTTACCTTGTGGGCTTGATATAATTTATATTACTGCCTTTACCCTTTCCTCCACTGTAGAAACTGGGAAAAAACCTACCAATGGGCCAGGGCTCATAAACACAGACCACAGGGTTGGGTTTTTTCGTAACTAAATTCAAGTAGCTGTTTTTTAAGGTAACTCATTCACTGTTAATGCAGGAAAAAGTTTTAGCACAGATCATAGCTTTCAGTGAAATTCACAGCATGCGATTTAGCAAAACCTCCTCTAAGAAGAACTTTATTTATACACATCATTGAATCATTAAGATTGAAAAAGATGTCCTGAGTCCAGCTAGCAGCCCCATTGACATCCCATTGCTTTTTTTAAAGTAATTGATTCAGAAGCATGTATAGAAATAGGCACTCAAATTTACTGACATCCTGAAGCATTGACTTCAAAACCTGAATTGCACATTTATTTCACAATAATTCAGTAATTCTAGTGCTGATTCACTTCATGCAGAACCAAATGATGAGTTAGGTAGGTAGCCACGAATATGGTTGGACTGATACAGAAGGAACAGCTGCAGAAGATACGTGTCACACTTCCTTAATGCATTTGTTTTACTGGAGAGGAATAGAGTATAAGCCTGTTTGAATCCTATTCAAGTAATTTCAGACTGTTATGGCAATGGGCTGCAGAAATTCAAGTGCCACAGCCAGCCCTATCAATTTTTCTTTATTCTAACTGCTTCAGTATCAGGTGTAGATCTAACTTATAGCAGGCTCAGGTACAAAGAGTGGCAGTAGACACAGTTTCAGCTAGCATGTGCTTCTTGACAGGACACATGTAATTTAGAGGGCTTTGTAAAAAGGTGCTGTCTTTTCTGTCCTTTTGGGACCCACAGTAGGCCATAGCCTGGTTGTGGTGCTAGGCTTGCCTGGACACATAGTATGGAAGCCACTGTTACTCCTGTGGGATGCCTCAGTCTTCAGAAGCTTTTTAGAAAGTGACAATTGTCTAGGGCAGCTTTAGAGAAAACCTCTGATATCATATGATGAGCTGTAATATCATCTGCTAACAGAAGTTATTGCCTTCTATTCCACTGGTTTTTTCCTTGTGATGGGTGATGATCTTAAAAAAATATTCAGAAAGAGGTGTGATTTTTTTTTAAGATCTGCTGCAAAATTAAAGTCAGGACAATGGTCTGGGGAACTTCCATATAATGAACTTGTATATAAGAGTTGGCTTTATTTTGAAAGCAGAGGCCTTTTCAGAAATTTAACTGATGTACTTACAAACTGAAACCCTTCCCAAAGCATAACAGAAATTCTCAGATGTAATTCATTTAATAGCTTAATTTATTAAACACATTATGTAAAATCTACATTGTTTCAGTTTTCATGTTTACACACAAGAGGATTTTTTATTTTTAACCATGATGCGACAAGAGCTTCCCATAGCCTACCTTTCTATGGGAGATACAAACATTAAACACTACAAGAAGTTCTGGCTCATTTAACTCTCTTTTCATTGCCTTCCCTTTATTCCCCCCTCCAGGCCTGGCACAAACAAACAGGCTTGTATATCCAAAAGTAGTTTTTAAACATTTCCAAGGGAAAGTCTGCCGATACAAAGTCCTGGAAAGAGGGAGAACTCCTAGAGAGATCTACAGTTCTTACATGAAAAGTCAACCTTTTTGCATACTGACTTGCAAAAATAACTTGAGTGCCACCACCTAAAAAGTGCTGATACACATGGCGCCATTTGTGAGAATTCAGGTATTTGTGGGATTTCTATTAGCGCTAGGTAGAGGTATTGTGCAAAATCGTCAAATGATGCAATTTCACCCCACTTTTCAGCTGCTGGCACTGTACAAAGGGAAAAATAGGTATTAGCTACTTCTTAAAGCAACAGAACTACTCAAGCTACCTGCAAACTACGGTTAATGTACATGTAACTTTGTCATGCATCAAAATCCAAGTTTTTAAAACAGTATGTGAAAGGCCAGTATGGACATATATATCCCCAAAGTTTGATAGTTAACTTATCCATACATAGCATTATCACACCATACCACATATCATATTATCTGCATTATCCTAAGATACAACTCTCCTCAGTACTTAAAACATTACCCTTTAATATACATCAACTAATTTATATTTTTGTGGGTTTTTGTTGATTTGTTGGTTTTTTTGGTTGTTTTTTTTTAATTGTTACAGATCAAATGTTAAAATTATATAACTATTTTTAATGGTATTCAAATAAATCAAGATTCCAGATTTTCACACGAGAAATGGAATGTCCAGCTGTTCAACCACTCTCAACAGCCTGCAGTTTCTCTTAAAATGATATGGCACATCCTGTGAAATGAAACTATCCACCAAAAAATAAGTCTTCTTGAAACACACACACACTAAAGTAATTTATATTGACAAATAAGGAATGTATTTTTTAAGGCTGTGCTTCCAAAAGAGGATATTTAGGGTTAAGTAGCCTTCATCAAGGCACAGAATGGGAAGAGTTAAGCACAGCTGTTTGTGGAAGAGAAGTTACGTAAAACCACTAGTGAGGTGTGCATGCATGCCTCAATTTTAAACTGCACAGCTGGTCTTTGTCATAAAACTGAACATGGTCAGAAGGAAGTGATGTGACTTTTTAATGGCCACAGTTTTACTTTATTAAAAATATGGCAAGTATTTCCAAACATTTCACTACTGGAATAAATGAAATATTTAAACAAAGTGCTTCACAGATCTGAACCCTGCAGGTTGTGCTGTCTGGTCTAGAAGCATGTTTTAGACATCAGGAGCATTTCACATAAAACTGAAAATGTCATTCAGGTGAATAAGAAACAGGAGATTTCCACAAACATTTCTAACATTTTTATACTTTCAAGTAGTTGAGTTCTCTCGGTCACTAGGTTTGTAACAAATGTGTGCTACAGCAGTACAGGTTCATGATTCTTTTAGCAGCAGAGGCCATTTTCAAAGGGCACGTGGTCTTTTCGGGTTGATCTGTTTACTGGCCTGTTCCTCTTCTTGTAGAGCTGCCCGGAAGGATTTCACTTTGTCTTTGAGGAAAAAACAAGAATGAGAACTGATGTGCCTGTGCTCAACAGATTTTGAAACTAAGCCCTGATCCTCCACATCCCAGCCTTAACAAACAACAAAGAACATTCCTCCACAAAAATAGCTGACGCTACAAACTACAAGGGGAATGAGCTAAGCTTGCATTCAAAACCATACAAACAAGTTGCTTAGCAACTTAGTGTCTTCTTGGATACTACCCCTGTCTCTAGGCAGGATAGGTTTGTAAACTGCACAATTGTATTCCCAGCACGTGAACTGTTCACACTTCCATTCTCCTCCTATTTTACAGAGTCTAGGGAGATATACACTACCTATATCCTATTCCTTCCCAGCACCTTCCAAACCACTTTTAGGGACATACGAAATCATATTTAGAGTACAGTCTGCCATTTCTAGTACATTCTAAAACCCAGTATAGTAAGTTCTAGTCCCCGTTTTCTTATGAATGTGAAAAAAATTTGTGAATAAGTTTTGGAACTTATTCACTGTAATTAGTTAAATGCATCATTCAGTGGTTTCATTGTAATTCACTAAGAATGGGAGAAACCTAAGGAAGGAAGTGTAGCATCCTTATTTTTCTATTCCTATCCCTTCCATTCCCCAATAATATGCCCAAGAATGGGAAGAAGGAAACCAAAATGATGGCAAAAAATTCAGTTGCACAGTGACAGAAGTAAAGGCTGAACAATTCAGTGACCATTACATGACATGAGCACAACGCAGACAATACCAAGACAGCATTTGTGACTTTATACACGTTTCCTCCTGTAAAACTCCAGTTATAGTAAAGATATGAGATCTCTTAGCATTTTACCTCCAGCAGCCTTTTCAAAAACAGTATCTGCTAGGTTTTTGAAGAACAGGTAGTCACCTAAACTGCGTTTTTTCACTGCTGGTGTCTCAAATTGTCATCTTCTGAAGAGAAAGCCATTATCCATAAAAAACAAAAGGAAACTCCCAACTCCTAGCAAAAGTGTCACTAGCATGCTCAGGAGACAAGCAGGACACATTTGATCTGCTTGTTGTATTCCAAACAGATACTCAGACTGAGTAAAAAGTGAGATTTTAACTTACAGTTCTTTTAACATAGACCAAAAAAACTGTTCCATTAGCCCCCCAACCCACCCTTGAGCTTTTGCCAATATAGAGTATGTCTCCTGGAGTATAAACACTTAACAAAAAATGAAAAGGAAAAAATAAAAATTAATCTCCGCAATATAACCAACTGACAAGCTGAATTTAGAAGACAAGTGGAAGAGTTAATTTTAGGCACTAAGAATTAGCTGTAGTTTTCAACAAACACAGGCTGACAAAATTCAAACAAAGGCTGTTGAAAAAAAAAAGTAACAACTAAAATACTCAGAGCTTGATGGCACTCTTAAGCAGAGTCTTAAAAATGACAGCAGGCTCCCTGCTACACTACACAACAGCAGGGAATGGGAGTTCCTACTACTTTTTCCTCATTGCATGGCCTTCTATTTTTTTCATACAGTTGGTCTGGATTTTCTTACCTTCCTTTAGTGTTTTGTTAAAAAAGAAAAGTTTCAAGACTGAGTTTGTACTTCCTGGAGATAAAGCACAGACTCCTCCTTTACATTAGGATGAACTGATCATAGATGTGAGCTTGTTCTTAGACTGCAGAATAAATGCTCCTTCCACTGAAGGCCAGGCATAAGTGGGAAAAAAGACCCTAGAATATAACCACTTTTTTTTCCTCCTTCTTTTTACTGCAAGTCTCCATGGCATATGCTAATAGTGTACAGAGGAGTAATTAAAAGCAACTTACCTCTGAGTTCAGTCAGAATATCAATTTTTTGCTCTAGAATTGCTTCAAGTTGGGTAGCATATGAATCCACATCATAGTCCACTTCTTCTGTCATCTCAAGAAGTAGTTTTTCAACTTCCAGCCATCTAATGGATTCCTAAACAAAAGTTTAAAAATACAACA